TGTTCCTGAATATGTGTTGGGCACCACATGTTTGCAAGTTCTCATAGTGCCTGGAAGAGGATATCAGCTTCCCCGAAACTGGAATTACAGAAAGTTGTCATCTGCTTGATAAGGGTGCTGGGAATTGAACCTGGGTCCTCTTGAACCACTGAGCCATCTCTCCAGCCCCAAGATACTACAAATATTCTTAAATATTAAACATTTTTCCTTTAGCAACAACCTTAACATTCTTCAGAACTAATATTCTATAGAAAACATTTTCCAGAAACATCACATTTTAGAAGTTTTGCAAAATTTTGCTTACGAATTCTTTGCTAAGATCACTCTGTTCTCCATTCACTCTGTGCTTTTTATAGTTATAAGGTATACAGAGTGATTCATTTTGGAATACAGCTCTGACACAATATTTATAGCTTAGCAATTCCAAGGTAAATGAATCCAGTTGTACTGTTAAAAATTATCCGGATCTGGATAGATAAAGTTGTTTTTGAACAAACAGTATGCTAAAATCTGGCCTCCACATATCATTGAAATTAAGCCGGAAACTGCAAGTAAATAAAAGGGAAGTTCTGGTTAACTGCCAGTAATGAATAATTCATGCTTAAGATTATGAATAAGAACAATCGCCATCACTAAAATAATGTTCCTGAAACTGACATAGCATTTGCCATGAAGTCATTTACAGAATCAGTGAAGAGAGTGTCGCATATATTCTGGGGCTGGTAAATCATTGAATTTTAGAAGTTCCTGCGGGGAACAGGCACAAATCAATAGTAAGGAGCCCTTAAAACTCGGCAGTTCGGAGACATGATGTCAGAGCTCTCGCCCTATAATTCACAGTTCTTAATTCTTTCGGTTTATCCGCCTGCCGTGTGTTCGCGTTGTTACTATTTTCTTGTTGTTTTAGACAGGGTCATGCTATGTAGCCCAGGATAGATTCAACAATCCCCATTCCTCTGTCTCAGGGGTGCAACATTTCAGATGTGTTTTCCCAGACCTGGCTGTTGCTTTTGTTTTGTGATATCACTGTTACTGTCCGTATCGCTACTACACAGAGCATGTGCATGCACGCCCACACGCGTTTATAAATGATCTTTTTAAATTATGGTAGGAAACCATCCACATTAAACTTTCAATATAGGAAGAGTTTTTAAAGCCAGAATTCAACCTATCTGTGCTGTTTGGTTTAATGAAACCTGTTTGGAGTCTTGTTTCATTTGCTCGGTGACTCTTGTTCCCTTTAAAATATAGATCCAACCACTATTGATCCAATTACAGAGTTCTCATAAATCTGCCGCTGCCTCTGTGCCAGTAACAGCACAGTGCCTGTGACAGGTAAGCCGCCCTGAGGTAGAAGCCCCGAGGATTACTGGCTTCCTCACCCATGGAGAGAGACTCAGTGACCACCTTTCGGAGACACTTAGCCATTTTAGTCTGCTATCTACATTTTTACTCAAAGGAAAGCAAAGATGTAGCTAGAGTTTTCCTGGCTGGCCCATGGTCAGGGCAAATCTCTCTCACCTGCCAGTCCCACAGCCACTCAGACCCAATCAAGTAAACACAGAGACTTATATTGCTTACAAACTGTATGGCCGTGGCAGACTTCTTGCTAACTGTTCTTACAGTTTAAATTAATCCATTTCCATTAATCTATACCTTGCCACATGACTCGTGGCTTACCGGCATCTTCACATGCTGTTTGTCATCATGGCGGCTGGCAGTGTCTGACTCAGCCTTCCACTTCCCAGCTTTATTCTCCTCTTTGCCCCGCCTATACTTCCTGCCTGGCCACTGGCCAATCAGTGATTTATTTATTGACCAATCAGCAACACACTTGACATACAGACCATCCCACAGCACAAAGACGATAGTGTCATGTGCCATACTGTGACTGTCTCTGAACAATCCCACATCTTAAAACAACCCCAGCTATCAATACTGAAATTCCTTGAACTAGTTTATTATCCAAAAGGCAACTTTCTCTGGCATTGAGTTGGCATTCTCTATGTGCAGGAGATGGCCAGGGCCCCAGTGCGGTAGACTTCTGTGTGTTGTAGATGCAGCTGGAAGGAAATTGTTTCCACAGCATTATTTTCCTGTACTGGGGATAATACACAGGCCAGGCAGGAACTTCACAATTGTGCCACACCCCTAACCTCTATGTATGGTCCTTCAACCTGCCCCCTTTCCTCCATTTCAGCACCTCTTTTTGAGGCTTATTAAAATTTGCGTCTTTGAAAGGTTTATGCCAGATAAAGCCTCAGTACTTTCTATGTGTGTTATCTGAATGTACCAAACAATACCTGCAAAAAAGTAGAAAGTTAAGACTTCAGCCTTACGGATATGAAAGTCAGCAGTGACTACAGATAACACTGGCACTAGAGATAATTAATTGTTGTTGACAACAGCCAGCTGAAGTGAATGAAAAGGCTTGATTCATTGTCTTTCTTAATTTTAAAGATTCATTCATTTTTATTTTATGTGCATGAGTGTTTGGCCTGCATATATTATTTATATAATATATATTATATATATATTATGTGTGTGTGTGTGTGTGTGTGTGTGTGTGTGTGTGTGTGTGTGTGTGTGTTTACAGTGCTCACAGAGGCCAGAGGACGGCACTGAAGCTTCTGGAACTGGAGTTGCAAATGATTGTTAGCTGCCATGTGGGTACTAGGAAATGGACTCAGGTCCTCTGCAAGAGCAGCCAGTGCTCTTAACCAAGGATATGAAAGTAAGTACTGAATACAGATAATACCAGCACTAGAAATATTCAGTGGCCATCTTGCCAGCCCATTGGCTAATTTTCTTATTACATCAATGAATTCAGTTTCCTGTGTGAGCAACAAAAATTGTCACAATGGTTCCATTGCTTCCTGTACTATTGTGGAAATAACAATATCATTTTTGAAGAGAAGAGTGTGTCACAAATACACATCCAGGGTTTGATTCTATATAATCCTGTACTGAAAGTCATGTAGTCCTCTGGACTACACCAAAATTATCTTTATTCTCCCACTTTATATACAAGTGTATAATTATATAAATATATGATATAAAAGTGAAGTATCATGTGATATAATTATAGTAAAACATTTAATAGCTATAATAGTCTACAAAAATAATTATCTATTTTCCTTCTTAACCCTCCCAAGGTAAAGATTCAACAGCCTCCCTCATAATTCACTAAAATATGTTCCCTATGTGAAACTCAATGAACTTACTACACTGAAGGGAAATCTCTGGTACTTCTTGCCATCTCCTTAATTCTCTCCATATTTACACAACACATATGTATTAACACCATTATGGGTCAGGTATTATGCTGGGGGTTGGATCCTGAATATGCTATAAATAGCCCTTAGAAGTTGTTTCAAATACTTGAAAATAAATAAATAAAGCCATCCTGTAATTTTCTTGTCAAGAGTGGAAATAGAAATTTGCTATTTTTCAACCAAGTCTTATTTCCCAAGACCTGTCGTGGATGTTTCTGTTGTTCGAGTGGATGGGGAGAAACAGTTCGAGGGTCAGAAAGAGACAGGGAAGCCCTCCCAGAGCTGTTGATTCCAATGACCATCCTAGCTTTTTTTCAGCTTCCTTAGCACTTTGCATTGCCTAGGGGGTAGCTGCCTCCATACATTTCTGTAAGTTCTGCTCTCTCTCCTGCGCATTCCCAGAGAGCTCTCTGTAGGGTAGTCCTGGGGTATCTATGCAAAGGCGCCTTTGACCGTGGTCTGAAGCACACAAAAATTGGCTACTTATAGGACTCACTGTGTGGATGTGGAAACTCACTCATCTGACTCCATAAGCTTTGTTTGTCACATTTGAAAAATTAGAATATAATACCCCACAGAATTGTAGTAAAGTTAGTGAGATATGTACAAAGGCCCTGGCTCATATTAAGTAATCAATAAACCTACATATTTTAATTTCGTGTGGGCCATTAATACTGAGTAGCAATACCAGAATATGTTTGGGTTTGCCTGCTGTTTGCAAAACAGATTGAAAATATTAGACAAGATTATTGCCAAATCAAGAAGAATAATATTTCTTACAAATTACATAATCTTTGTATTTGGAAGCCAAATACAACAGATTTATAAGTAAATAGTTTCCATACTTGATAAGCACTGAAATCTGTTTAGAGACGCCTGGCTTCGCTTTACATGGTCGTCGTTTATTAATATAAACAAATGATGGAGCTGGGACCCTACTTCTCCTTCCTGACTCTCTGATCGTTACATAATATAATTAAGGAAGAAAACTGACACCAACTGTCTCGTTTCCTGCACGCTGGCTGTTTCACTTGATTTTCCTACCTACGATTTCGATAAGATCCAACTCCAAGACACACCGTTTTTAGGTTCGTTTGCTTAGAACTAAGGAGGAGCTGTCTGTGGGCAGCTTTGGTTTTAAGTCAGGTGTTGCATAAAAGTAAAGAGGCTCGGAAGGTTCTGGATGTGAACCGCTGTGAGCCTGCAATGCCTGTGCTGCCTGGCCTGATCCCTACCCAGAGCAGCTGTGCATGCTTCACTTAGGTCCCCAGGATCGCTAGGAATGAGTTCTGTTCTAGGCTGTCTCACTTTCCCTTCCCCTCATAACACTTATACGTTGCTCAGTACATAAAGGGACATTTATGGCAGTCCTTCATAGGTTCAAGTTATATAAAAAGGAGAAGCAGAGTATAGGGTGTGTGTGTGTGTGTGTGTGTGTGTGTGTGTGTGTGTGTTTACTGATCTATTTTTGACTCAAACACATGCTAAAAATGCAGCATGTCTGGTGTGGATTACATGTGGGCTGTCCTGGGAGCATGTATGTGCCAGAAGAGACAACCAGTAGATTCTATCTTTAATAAAATTGTAATGGTTTTTTATAATTCCGACAACTTCATAATTATCTTAGAATAATGTAATAAAATCTATGCCTAAGGTAAAGTGTATTTCCAGCATTTATTCTACTTAACATTGTTTTGTGCATTAGAGGATCTAGACTTGAGCCCTTCATGTACCTAAAGCAGCCCACCAATGTGACATCAAGGGGAATTCCAACGTAACTGCAATAGAAAAAGAAAAAAAAATGCTGACGTTCATGTACAAAAGCATGCATTTTTATTAACTTACCAAGAGATATTTATGTTTGATCAAACATATCCACATGACCACATTTTTGTCTGAATTCCTGAAACTAGGTAGCCAAAATTTATTTTGCTGTAGAGCAGCAGTTCTCAATCTGTGGGTCATGACCCCTTTGGGGGTCAAATGAGCCTTTCACAGCGGTCACCTAAGACCATAGGAAAACACATATTTACATTATGGTTCATAACAGTAGCAAAATTACAGTTATGAAGTAGCAATGAAAACAATTTTATGGTTGGGGGTCACCACAATGTGAAGAACTGTACTAGAGGGTCGCAGCACCAGGAAGGTTGAGAACCACTTCTGTAGAAGGTCATTCATTTATTCAGGTGAATGTTTGTAACACCCCCCATAGGAAAGGCATCCTGAATTGTCTGGAGATCATCTGGAGGAATAAGCAATAGTGATGATTCCAAGACTGTGCTAAGCACCCAGTGCCTCGCACCCTAGGGATTCTGAACCACTTCTCTTTTGTTTTAATTGTTTTGAGAATCTTGCTATGTAGCCCAAGCTGGCCTAGAACTTGTGATCATCCAGCCTTTGTCTCTTGAGTGCTGGGATTACAGGTGTGTACCACCACACTGCTGGCTTTGATCTAGATGCACTCCATCAAGCATTTGTTCAACAGTTTCTACATGGCATGTATCAGGCAATTTGATAGCAATTTTTCTGGTTCCAGAGTTAATAGCTCCTCTTGAACTTAAGGATTGGACCATATGGTGCCCCCAAATGCTCCCCCTTTTTAACAACTATCTTGTGGCTATCTTATAGAAAACTGAGATCCCTAAGGTAAAATAGAGAATCTGAGAGGGCCATGGAGGAAAGGGGACTGTCCAGTGATTCTCTGACAAACTGACAGAGAGATAGGGAGCTTGTGTCTGATGATACTAAAGCTAGAAGATAAATTGGCTGGGACTTCCTAATGGCAGTGAAGCTGGCAAGTAGCAATTCACTTGGACATGTGTGCTACTGAGCTGGTGGCAGCTCATTCCATCCATATACCAAGGCACTAGAGACACAAGACTGGTTTAAGTTGGTGATAAGGCAACAGTTAACGTCGAGGAAGAGTGCTTGAAAATGATCCACACTTTAGTATGCTTTTCAAAAAAAAGAATAATAATGGAGGATCGAAAAGGAGAAAAAATTAGAGAAGAGTAAATGTTGAACAGTTGGACGAAGGGATGGACGGAACTATCTATCATTCACTGAGTGTCATGTGCTAACTGCTCTCCAGACAGTTTCTCAGGATCTTGTTGAAAGTTCACCCACCAGGTCTCCCCACTGCTGCAGTGAAGGAAATCCGTGTGGGAGGTGTGACTTACTCATGACTTCCCTCTTAGTAAAAGGTAGAACTGCAAAGCGAATGTATTTTAATTTTGACTCCCAAGATAAAAACAAAAAAGTAAAAACAAAGACATTTTAGAAATGTTATTCCTCTTTAATGTTTATTCTCGTCCCCCCATGTGTGTGTATCTGTGTGTGTGTGTGTGTGTGTGTGTGTGTGTGTGTGTTTGTGTGTGTGTGTGCATGTGTACATGTGTGGTGATATATTGTGTACCCCAATAAAGTTTGCCTGGGGATCAGAGGACAAAGCCAGTCACGATATTAAACATAGAGGTCGGGCAGTGGTAGCACATGCCTTTAATCCTAGCATTCCGGAAGCAGAGATCCATCTGGAACTCTGTGAGTTCAAGGCCACACTGGGAACAGAGCCAGGTGTGGTGGCACACGCCTTTAATCCCAGCACTAGGAAGGAAGTAAAATGGCAGGGCACAGAAAGGTATATAAGGCATGAGTAAACAGGAAGTCTCTCTCTTGAGGCTGAGGATTTCATAGAGGTAAGAATGTGGTTGGCTTGTTCTGTTTCTCTGATCTTTCAGCTTTCACCCCAACATCTGGCTCTGGTTTGTTTTTTTTTTTTTTTAATTAATAAAACCTTTTAAGATTCATGTTACATACATGCACATTTTAAATACACCTATGCACAGGCCACAGCACACATGTGCAGGTCCAAAGGTGACTTGCTGGAGTTATTTCTCTCCTGTCCACCCTGTGTATCCCAGGAATTGAACTCAGGTCTTCTGACTTGGTGACCAGAAACGTTACCTCTTTAGCCATTTTGTTGTCTCAGAACTGGAACTATGAAAAATAACCTTTGACTTGTAAATACACTAGGTTTTCTTTGTTTCCTCATCTTTTTGGTCTCAGGGAAAGATTTTGGGAAAAAAAATAATTATTATTAAGGAGGCAAAGCCTATGTAAGCCTATGGTAGCTGAATGTGAAAAGAGGAAGAATATTTGCATGTCAGTACAGCCCTGGGGTGAAAGAATTGGTGGAAACCATTCCCTGCCCAAGCACAAGTTCAACTCTTAAGAGTGGTTTTGTGGGACCCCTGGTAGTGGGGTCAGAATTTATCCCAGGTGCACGAACTGGCATTTTGAAGCCCATTACCTATGGTGGAATACCTTGCTCAGCCTTGATGCAGAGGGAAGGGGATTGGTCCTGCCTCAACTTGGTCTGCCAGACTTTGTTGACTCCCCAAGGGAGGCCTTTCCCCCTCTGAGGAGTGGATGGGGATGAGAGAAGGGGAGGAAGGGGGAACTGGGGTTGGTAAGTAAAATGAAAAGAATTTTAAATAAAAAGAAAGAGTGGCTTTGATACATCAGATGTAATACACTTTCCTTGTTTCTGCTATTTTATCTTGCTTACCAGCTGATGTGATGAGTACATGAAGTATATTCATGGAAATTGCCTAATCCCAAACCCATTCTTGTACAATCAGAGCAAAAAGCAATCCACAAACCAAGTAGGTGACTTCTGTTGAGACTAAGAGGACTGCAAACAGAAGAAAGAAGGTGATTATTTGTGCTTGGAACATTTAACAATTCTGAAATGCAATTAACACATGACCATGAAATCTTAATCTGCAAAGAACTATTTTAAATTTAATCGTTTTTTAAATTAGAGAACTTTATACTTAAACACTGTATTTCTATCATTTTCACTCCTTGCTCCCATGCTTCCTACCATGTCTCCCCTATTCCCTCCGAAATGCATGACCTCTTTTTCTTTAATTGTTATTGTTACATATATATGCATATGTATGTATATATACATAAATACAACCTGCAGAGTTCACATGGTCACCTAACAAGACCTGCACAAGGTTGATCTATTGGTGGAAGTATTAAGGCAACTCCACATAGTGAAAAGGGAGGTTTATTTTGTGGGGTAACTCACAAGTAAAGGGATAGGTTACAGGGTCCAGGAAAGATGTAGCGCAGTCTGGCATTGTTCTCTGGAGAACTCTGCTCGGTCTGGTTCTCAGGTCTTAAGGGCTCCTCTCTCGGGCCCGCCTCATAGGCATGACCGTTACTGAAGCCTCAATGGGGGTAGTACTTCCAGGTCAAAGCTGGAGCAGCTACCCACTACATCGATCAGTTGACAAGCCACCATGGATGGGGAGCTGCAGGCCATTAGTGGCTCCAAGGAGAGGGAGAATCAGTCTTCCCCAGGGAGGAGCTCCTGATAGGTTATCCAAGCTCAAGTAGTCACTCCTAAATACATACACATATGTGCAAAGTATTTTTGGTATAAGTTTTGCAAATGTTCTCTTATCCAAATTCAAATGTGGATAAGAACTTCTGACATTTTATATCTTCATTATTCTCACGTTTAAAAAAACAACAACAAAATATAATTTCTGTTTCACAGTTTTTGTGGTTAACATTGAAGTTACAACACAGTTCATGCATGCAGGCCAGCTATTGAGTTGTGAATCTAATTTTAAGAAGTATGAAACATTAAATGAAATTAATGAAAAAATTCAGTTCTGGGGTTTTAGAAATAAAAGGATGAATGGGTTTATTCAATGGTAATTTTCTTTTCTTTTGGTACACACAGTGCTTAATTAGAAATAAGTTCCTTTGTGCTTGTGGAATCATTTGGTATGTTCAGGTAGTCATCTGAGAAGCAAGGTTTATCACTATAGGTGAAATAAAGCCTCACCAATGACAGGTGTAGCTGGAAATGCTTCCAAATCCACTGGTTGTCACACAGGGGTTTCCATGAATGAATATAAAAAAAAATAGTTATTTACAGGTCAGGACCACAAATCTTGGTGCCTTGGGCATATAAAAGGACAGCCTTTTGCCTTTTTGGTGGCTTTTAAAGATGATAATAGTTTCAAGGAAGAGATCCATCCAACTTTAACAAATGTATTTGATATGCCACCAAAGTCCCTTTGTAAATAATACTAGTCCTATAAAAATTCCCTTTCCTTCACTTTAAAACTATCAAATGATTGGTGTGTTCATATAATCCCAGAATCAATAAATGTAGGCAGGCAAATGTGATATTTTGCAGAGCAGAAAGTGAAATAATCACCCTATTTCCTACTGTGTGGAGGTAATTTATTAACTAGCAAACCAGAAATTGCAGAGGAGAATATGAAAGACATCTAGCAAGCGAGTTCCAGGCAATGTCTTCTGAAGGCATCCCTCATGCTCCTCTTCAGTCTCATTCCATTTAACTCAATAGGTTTTGGAAAATGAATGGAGAATTCACATCAACTCCTTTTTCTATGGCATGGAAATCCCTTTGACTAATGTAAATCAGGTCAGCCTGTCCATCAAGTCAGCTGTCCATCAGTTCATCCTGTTCTGCACACTAAAACCAAGGAAGGAAGTATTGTGCTGCATCTTACTGATGTCACCTAGTACACATTCCTCCTGCTTCCTAAGCTTTTTTTAAAAAAAGACAGGGTCTGACCATGTAGCCGTGGCTGGCCTGGAATTTGGTATGTAGTCCATGATGGTCTCAGACTCACAGAGATCCATCTGCCTCTGCCTCCCAAGTTCTTGTTTGTTTGTTTGTTTGTTTTGGTTTTTCGAGACAGGGTTTCTCTGTGTAGCTTTGCGCCTTTCCTGGAACTCGCTTTGGAGACCAGGCTGGCCTCGAACTCACAGAGATCCGCCTGGCTCTGCCTCCCGAGTGCTGGGATTAAAGGCGTGCGCCACCACCGCCCGGCTTATCTTTTTTTTTTTTTTTTTTTTTTTTTGTTTGTGACTCCCAAGTTCTTTAAAGGTTTGTGCCACCGCATCCCACATTTGTGGGAGACCCTCCCACCTTTTTAAAGGGTTCCTATGAGCAGGAGAGAGGAATAAGAAACATTTTAGATAGAAAGATAGCAAAGATGAGACAGACAGAAACACAGGATAGCTTCGGGAGGACCTGGGTCAATATCCAATGGCCCCTTCTGTCGCTTCAAAAGGGCTTTTTATAACAATGCCAAGGGGTGGGGCAAAAGACCTCCCCCTTGCTAGATCAAAGCACATCGCACAGCCAAGTGTAGACCCTTCCAAACACCTGGTCACCACTCATGTGATCAAGTCATCCCCTTATGCAGCCCTGCTGGGTAAAACGAGCTCAGAGCTCACAAGGAAACCTCTGTGGGCTCCCACACACATTCTAGAGAGATTTCTATTGTCAACATTTGATTTTATAAGTTAACTTAAAGCTGCTTGGAGAAGGTGAATTTTGTCTTTTGTCACAAGCTGTATTTGCATGTACTGATGAAGAACACTTAAGCTTTGCTCAGGGTTTGAAAGCAAACACAATTCAAAGTACAGAACTTGAGGTCAGGGTACCAGCAAGTCAGTATCACCTTAGAAGTGAAGAGTTCAAGGACACTGAGCAGGGTTGGGAACAGACTACTGGTTTATCTAGACTGACCTGTGCAACACAGCAGAAAGATATTAGTCATGAAACAGGCTCACTGGATGCACATTTCCCATTGCCATTGCTACATCTGAGCTTCAGGGCAACAGAACTGTTGAAACAGACCAGAAACTTGACCCTAAATCCAAGGCCAGAGCTTTGAGACTGCCAGGAAACTTACCTCCCAATCAGACAAGCCTAGATTCTCAAAGCAGCAAAACTAAAGCGGTCTAACTAACCTTCATCCTCCAAAGCCCCCAAATTAAAGATTTACAAGGTTAAGGACTTACTTGTGCACAAATATCCGTGTTTCCTAACAGAAAAATAACAAAGCAACCTGAGTTAGACACCCAAGGACCTCCACTGACCTCTACTGTATGTAAACATTCTCCTCCACTAAGCCTGTGGCATCCCATCTTCACTGACTGACCCAAAGGCAAGAATAAATAACGAACAGATGGGTCTGAAGTCTTTCCCCTATTCCAAACACATGTATGGTCCATAGTTGACTTTTTTTTTTTAAAAAAAAAAATAACTAACTCTTTATCATTTTTGCAGTCTCAGTGCAAAAACCACCTCAGTTCAATAGGGAAGTGCATGAAGAGAAAGTTAACAGCGTGCTTGACATCTTCTACCTTGTTACGATAAATATCTCTTGCTCTGACAGATTCTTTGCTACCCAAAATTGAATCAATAATGGCCCCCAAAACAAGGTTATCCATTGGAAGAAGGCATCTTAAACTTTTTATTAGAATTCAGTAATTCTAGCTGACCAAGTTTCCTATACAAATCATATTTATTTGAAATCTGTTTTTTTTTTTTCTAGCTTCAGGCAAGTTTGTACATTTCCATAGTTTTCCCCAGAAAAGATCATTCCGTGGTTTCCTGGTGAATTTTAATGTTTAAAGAATCAACAATACATTTTTTGAAAAGGAGGATGAAATTTAACATAATATTAGGAATAACTGCAATGAGAGAGTACATTTATGATTTATTTCCTTTTTCTCTTTTCTATATCTAGGTGTTTTAAGCTCTCCTGGTTTATGTGTTTTATTTTACAAAGAAAAATGATGTTAAACTTGAGTTTTCTAAAAATGAAGCAAACTCATCATGAATGCCCCAAAACAAGTGTGCTTTGTGTATAATCAGAGTAAGGGGTTCACCTATTAACACACCAGGCTTGTGAATTTGTGAGTTACAGGTTATTTATTGCGCAAACATATTAAATTTAAAAGAGACAAGTTTTTTCTAAGTTTTTTTTCTTTCTGGTTTTTCGAGACCGGGTTTCTCTGTGTAGCTTTGGAGCCTTTCCTGGAACTCACTCTGTAGCCCAGGCTGGCCTCGAACTCACAGAGATCCGCCTGGCTCTGCCTCCCAAGTGCTGGGATTAAAGGCATGCGCCACCACCGCCCGAGTATCTTCTTTCTTAATGTTTCCCCCTGGAGTAAAGTGGATTTTTTTTTTTTTTTACTTTTTAATTGATGCGTGATAATTATGTCTATTTATGGAGTGCAGTGTGGCATTTTGATACATGAAGGTGATGTGTAACGGAGAGTTCAGGCTAACTGGCATATCTGTCATCTCAGACATACATTGTTATTTCTTTGTGGTAGGAGCCTTCCAGATCTCTCCACTAGCTATTTTGAAACATCCAATCAATTGTCACCAACCCCAGTCACCCTCTTCTGTGCTACAGAACATTTCCTTTGCAACCAAGTCTGCACTGTTGGGAGAAGAAAAAGAAAACAAAGCAGGAATGTGCAAAGCAGTAAATGAAGGTTCTCTGTCACCACCGCTGGGAGAGCATGGCTCGATGCAGAATTCTCTAGGCTTCTTTCCACGCACACCATGGTGTCTGTTCCTCAAAAATGAAACGACACCGTGCAAACTCCTCTTCACTCTGTTTCGTACCCCACAAAGACTTTGTATGTCAATCCATTGTCATTTCTCTCCCTTTTCTTTAAAATGTGTTTACTGCAATGGGATACATGCAGCAAGACACGACAGCTTAAGGAGAAGCAGACCAGGAAAAGTGAGGTAGGGGAAGATGGTGGAGGGCAGTTGGGAAGAGGCAAATGAGTAAGAGTGACAGCTGTGTGTAGTGGGTAGCCATTCCAGCTTTGGTCTGGAAGTTCCAACCCCCATTGAGGCTTTGGTAACTATCATGCCTACAAGGCAGCGCCACCTTCTCTTGGTTCCCAGACCCTGGACGCTGGAGGTGGACCGAAAAGAGTTCTCCAGAGAACACCGCCGGACTGCGCTACATCCTTCCCAGACCCTGCAACCTGCCTATCCCTTCATTTGTAAATTACGCCATTAAATAAACCTCCCTTTTAACTACGTGGAGTGGCCTTAATAATTTCACCAATAGGTGTGGATAAAAATAGCACAAAGCTATCTATCTATCTATCGATCTCTCTCTCTCTATATATATATGTGTGTGTGTGTGTGTGTGTGTGTGTGTGTGTGTGTGTGTGTGTGTGTGTTGATGATAATAAAATTAAATTTACATAAGAATGTGAGGAATTCGCCGGGCGGTGGTGGTGCATGCCTTTAATCCCAGCACTTGGGAGGCAGAGGCAGGCGGATCTCTGTGAGTTCAAGGCCAGCCTGGTCTACAGAGTGAGATCCAGGACAGGCACAAAGCTACACAGAGAAACCCATACCCCCCCCCCAAAAAAAAGAATGTGAAAATTCTAACTCCTTCCCTACATTTATGCTATTCTTCTATTCTTATCCACATCCTAAGAATAGTCGCTTAAATGTCTTTGTATTATTTATTGTGACCTGCATACATGTGAAGGTCAGAGGACAACTTGCAGGAGTTGGTTCTCTCTTTTCATCACCTGGGTTCCATGGTTCCCATAGTTCCCATGGTTCCAAGGTTTTCAGGCTTCACTGGGCCACCTCGAGGACTCCACATAAAAAATTTTGATGCTACTTTTCCTAATGAAGTCAGATGTCATATACGGATAATCAAAAGAAAAGCCTAATGTTTTCCCACTTTCTACTTAAGAAAATATTTTATTGTTGCTTGCATTTTGTCCACTTATCAATCAGGATTAAAAGATTAAAAAAACAATTACCTTTATAATTTGTGTTGAGCCATGAAGGACGTGTTTTGAAGTCAAATGGTGCCAGGACATCGGGTTCCCACACCCTGAGAGATTACAAATGAAAAGTTTGCTCAGAGGGAGATCAATCTGAACTGTACAGCGAAGCTTTGTGCCTCACTCTTCACATACGAGGACATTTGATTCACCTATGTTGAGCACATTTTGAAACTGGCTGACAGGATGGCCACCAATGAACATCTTGTCTGTATTGCCTTCTCTGCTCAATTCAATCTACTTTGTTAGGGCTAGAGAGATTGTCTAGGGTTAAGAGTGCTTATTGCTCTTGAAGAGGACCTAGCTCAGTTCCTAGCATTCACCTTGCAGCTCACAACCATCTTTAACTTCCATTCCAGAGACTTCCATCTGACCTCAGTAGGCTCTTGCACAAACATGGTGTACATAAACTCATGCAACCACACACACCTATTTAAATAATAATAATAGTAATAGTAATAATCAATAAATAAATTTAAATCCACTTTTATCATTAAGGAATCTTAATTATATTTAAGGTCTCAGCTGTAAACGTGGTAGTTCTGTCCAGTAAACGAGGAGAACCTTTAATATGGAGAGAACAGGGTCTTGGAAGCCAAACTAAGCCTGTGTTATAACTGTGAACTTGGATAAATCATTTAAGGTCTCTGGGTTTCAGTTCTTCACCATAAAGTAAAGAGATTAATCTGTGAGATTCCTTCCTGTTCTTAGAGCTGAGTCTGTAAGTTTTACACCTGGACTGGACTACAATGGGGATTGACATCCTGGGCAGCTGGTCAACCAGTTAGCTGCTGTCAACAACTTTAAGGTCCAATTATCTCAAATTCTTTATCCTTGCTGGGAATGGCAGCCCTCACCCAAAATCTCAGTTCTTGAAAAGTTAAGGCTGAAAGACTGAGTATTTGGGGTATCCTGAGCTATGTAGCCTGAATTTGTCTCAAAACAAACAATAACCAACAATTAACCTATTATAACATTAATACTGCACATAATTTGAGTTGTATTTATTTAAAAGCAATGAAAACAACAAAAGCTAAGTGTAATGGTACAAATTTTTTGGTTTTTTGTCTGTTTTTGGTTTTTTTTTGTTGTTTCTTTTTTTTTTTTGAGACAGGGTTTCTCTGTGTAACAGCCTTGGCTGTCTGGAACTTCCTTTATAGACCAGACTGGCCTCAGAGAGATCAGCCTGCCTCTGCTCCTGAATGCTGGGATTAAAGGCATGCACCACCACTTCTGGTGACGGTACATATTTATAATCCCAGCAATAGCGAGGTACAGACAAGAGTCACAGGGAGCTTTGGAGCCAGCCTGGACTGCACAGACACTCTGTTTTTCCCCCACCAAATACAAAGAAACAAACAAAAATTCCTCACCACTGACTCACATTAACTCGAAATCTTCAGCTGCTTTGCTTGGAGAGCCAGGAAGAGTATGCATAGTTTTTACTATCTCTAGCCCAAGGCCACAGTTGAGATTATGAGTATACACACTGGACATTCCTCAGTGGGTTTGTCAGCAAGCATCCTGAATAACATTCTTTCCATTGCAAAAGTCAGTTGATTTATTTTGGGGATTAATTTGCATAGCGAAATGGAATTCTCTGCTTTCATAGTAAAATTAAATTACATAAATACTCAATTTATAGAAAGTTAATTGTAAGTATATATAATTTATTTTAAGGAAATTGTGTTGGCAACTTAAATTTGTAGAGAAAAATATCTTACTAGAGTAAGATAAAAAATTATGTGGCAAAAATGCCTCAAACTGACAAATTATATCATTAAAACCTACCAGTTGGGCTGGAGAGACTGTTCCGTGGGTAAATTCACTAACCCTGATGACCTCAGTTGGAGCCCTTGAATCCTCATGGTGGAAAGAGAAAGCTGCCACTTGGGTGTGGGTCCATGCACCCACATACATACACATAGGTAATAAATAAACAAATGTAATTTTAAAGCACCCAGATTATCTCGTTTTGTCCTCATGACAACCCTTTTTGTAGATTATGATTTCCCCTAGACAAATGTAGACACTGAAATAAGAGAACTTCTTATTTCAAATCAAGAATGGAACTGGAGAGATGGCTCAGCAATTAAATGTGCTCCCTGCTTTTGTTGAAGACCCAGGTTTGGTTCGGTTTCCAGCACCCACATCAGGTGGTTCATAACTGCCTGTAACTCCAGATGAAGGGCGTCTTCCCTCATCTATACTCTTCAAATACCTGCTTAGGCATGATGCACATAAACTCAGATACACACACACACACACACACACACACACACACACACACACACACACACAATTCAATCAGTTGATCTTCTAAAAAGTGAATCAGGAAGTTAGTAAGAACCTGGGCCAGAATGCATCCCTGGCTTACAGTAAAAACTTATGTCCAGTATTTTTTTTAGGGAATTCTTAAATGAATGTGGGCTCTCTCTCAGATGTCTAGTGCAAACTCTCTCTGATTCAATACCAGCCCTAAGAGCATGGCTTCACTTTTCCTGCAGTATGAAATAATTCTGCCTGGTTCTAGCTTTGTTCATGGCACTGACTTTGGTCATTCTTAATAGCAGAATGTTAGTTTGTATTTACTCTCAAGACAAAATTTTAGATGCCGTCAAGAGTCTACAAGCTATAATCCATCAAGCCATGCCATTAAGTATGAACTCCTTTTACTCCATGTCCACTTTTAAATCATGTTTGAAGACAACGTGCCACCCCCTTGAGTGGCAGCACATGGTCAGTGACGGGCAGTAAACAGTGTAGAATAAGATGACACACACCAAAAGGTTCTGCAGAGCAACCTGTAGGGAATCGGAAGGAGAGATCTATCGGTCTGAGCTTTTGAGCACAATAACTTACTTAACAAGGAAAAGAAGAATAACTAATGTGTAGCATTGGTAAACTACATATGACTTGGAGACTTGAGGCTGAAAGGGGACTCAGAGTACCTGGTATTGCAGACAGAATGAGCTGCCATGTCACACCATGACACCCAGGATCAATGCAGTCCAGAGAGCCATACCACTTACCCTGCATTTATCCAAAGAGATCTCCTACACGCCAATTGTGTTTGTCACTTTCCTTGTTGCTGTGATAAAATACTTGACCAAAAAAAAAAAAAGCAAATCCAGGAAGGAAAGGTTTATTTGGGTTCATCGTGTGATGGTCCAGTATACCAGGGCACAGAAGGCATGGTGACCGGAGCTTGAAGCAAGCTGGTCATGTGTCTGTACTCAGGACGGAGATGGCGAGAACACTAGCGGGCAGATCATTCTTCCTTTGTGTATAGTCCAGCACCCCAGCCATGGACCCATGCTGCCCGCACGTCAGGTGTGTCATGCAACTTCAATTAACACAATCTACAAACCGCCTCCTAGGCATAGGCATAGATTTGTTTCCAAGGGTAACTCTGGATTCTCTCGAGCTGACAATCAATTGTGTAGACTCTCACACCAATATTTATATCCTAACTTGACAAAATCATGATAAACCCCAGATATAATACTAAAAATAATAATAAGAGGTCATTTTGAAATAACCATCCCCTGCACACATATAATAATGCAATTAGTGGCTAAGCCTGTTTGCAAGAATTTTCAGAGCAATTGATTAAAACACAATAGATGATGTTGAAATGGACCCTTCTACATGTGAGTCTCACCAAAAAGCAATACAGATTAATGGAGACCAATGGATTATTCAATAAAAGATGTGAAATTGTCTGGCTTCCAGCTAGGAAAAAAAAATCCCATTAGATTCTAGTCTTGTACCAAATACCATAATAAATTTCCAAATGGATTAAAGTCTTAAATGCCAAGGAAGAGATTGGGAGAAAATATTTGAAACATATATATCACAGGAAAGGGCTTGATAGCTACAATATAAATTCCTACAAAAGGCAAACAAATGGAGAGAAAAATGAGCAAAACATATAAATAGGTGTTTCGTGTGAAGAAACACTTAAAAATCCAAGAAACAATCAAAACCTCCTGAACCCATCATCTGTCTTCAAAAACACATTCTTTAAAATGTCAACATTTCATGTGGGAAATTTTCTATTTAGTCGCCCTGCTTTGGAATTAGTTTAAAATCATTTTTTGCTCAGCCAACACACAATACTTTAGGAATCAGTTTTCCCCGGGTGATAGATTCATTGAATTCATTCAACCTAATGGGCCTGCGTAAAGAAGGCCCTGTCCACTAGAACCAAGGGGAAAGTCACCAGTGCTGCATACCACATCTAATTTTGTCACTGCGGAACTGAATTTACAGATTTATCAAGAGTCTACCTCTCTCAACTATCTAAAGATGAATGAGCAACCTTGTCTCGGGGGACGTGTGAATCCAGACTCTGGAGTTCTGGGACCTTTGGGAGCGGCACCACTCAGACTCACCCCATTCTTCTCAACCCCCTCCTAGTCTCGGCCTCTATGTCCCCCATACCTACACAGCAGAACTCTTCCCTCTGCCTTCCATACTCATCCCCATCCTTATCCTTTCATATCTCTCAGGCTTTATGCTCTAACCTCTGCTCCCTCTTGAGTCTCGGTCTCTCCCCTCAACACTTTGTTCCCTTTCATCATTTTCTCTCCAAGAGACATCCACAGGCACGTGGATGCACGATGGCCACATTTTGTACATGTATATGTGTGTGTGTGTTGTATATACGTGTACATGGTGTGTGTGTGTGTGTGTGTGTGTGTGTGTGTGTGTGTGTGTGTGTGTGTGTGTATGTGTGTGTGTGTGTGTGTGTGTGTGTGTGTGTGTGTGTGTGTGTGTGTGTATGCATGTCCATATGGAGGCCAGAAATCACTGTGAGGTGTCCTTTTCTGCCACTCTCCACTTGATTTCCTGAGGAAGTGCCTCTCACTGATTTCACTGAATAGCTAGCTTAGCTCTGGGGATCAACTGCTCTCTGTCCTTCTACTCGGCTTGTGGATGCCCACCCCCATGCTTGACTTTTTACATAGGGTGGGATCTGAACCCAGATCCTCATGCTTGGGCTACACACACTTTATCAGCTAAGCTAGCTCCCCATCCCCATGCACATTTTTGCTCATATTATTTGCATAAAATGCTTATTTCATGCTGACATTGTCGCATACGCATATAATCAACTTTGATGGCATTCGTGCCATCCCTCTCGATAATCCCTCCTCTCCACAATCCCCTTCTTCTTCACTAACAGGAATCTTCCTCTTCCCTTTTCCTTATTCTCCCCCCCCCACTTCTCTCTCTCTCTCTCTCTCTCTCTCCCTCTCTCTCTCCCCCCCCCCTCTCTCTCTCCCCGTCCATCTCTCTCAGATTAAATATACAAGAGGATACAGGGAATATGCGTCTTTCTGAGTTCAGTTTATTTCACTTAGTAAGAACACAACTTTCCTGACAAAGACATACATTCTTTATTCTTTATAGTGGATTTGTATCTTGTTCTATCTGTGTACCACATTTCCTCTATCCATTCATGCACTGATGGGCAACAAGCTAATTCCATAACACGCCTGTCCTGAGTGGTACCACATCAAATGCGCACACAGCTCTCCACCCTGTGTTACTGAATTTGGTTCTTTTGTATATAAGGAAGGCATAACTGGTTCGTGCATCATTTTTATTTTTACGTTCTGAAGGCTTTCCAAACTGATTTCTGTAGCGGCTGTACTAATTTACATCCTTGCCCATGTATAAAGACTGTTTCTTCCACATTCCTGCCAGCATTTGACGTTCTTACTTCCATGGATTATATTTCCTTTTGCAATAGCCATTCTGATCTTGATGAGATGAAGCTGAACACAGTTTTGGTTTGCATGTCTCTGATGGCTAGTGATAGTGGACATTTTTTTTTTTATATCTCTTTGGTCTTTTGTACTGCTTTTGAAAAGGTGTTCAGGTCATTTATTTATTGATCGCATAATTTTGTTCTTCTGCATTTTCAGTTTTTGAGTTCTTCATGCATTGTGGGTATTAATTCTATCAGATAAATAATTTGCAAAGTTGTTGTGCTATTCTGTAGTCGGTGTCTTTATTCTTGTGTTGCTTGTGCTGTGAGGCAATTGCTTTGTCAATTCTTTCTACTACTTCTTGAGCTACAGACGTCCTTTTCAGAATATGCCTAATCCTGTATCTTGAATGGCTTCTTCTGTTTTTCTCTGTTAGTTTCAAGTCTTACATGAAGATATTTCTAGTTGATTTTTGTACAGGGTAAGAGATAGGAATCTAGTTTCATTCTTCTAGACAGCCAGCCTTCCCAGAGCCAGTTTGAAAGTAGACTGCAATGCTAGAATCCCAGTTTTTATTTTCTTGGGTAGTTAAGAGCCTACTCCCAGGAGTAAAGTCACAATACTATAAAACTTTCATGGTAGCATCTCCTAATTTTTTTTTATTATCGAGGAAGATGACATGGAGTGGATAACTATCAGGGACACCCAAGTGAAGGACTCAATTTAAAACCAACTAAAAGCTCTGGTTTCCTAGAGATGGCGTTGTGACCATGATAATGTGAAACCTTTGACTATGTCCTCATGAAGACAGGGCCAATTAATTCCGAACTTTTGAGAGGAGTGTCTGCAGATGGGAAAGGAATGTGTAACACAGAGCAATCTTGGGCTTCTTTGGCTCTTAATTCTCTTGAGTCATGTGCCTTTGGCCTTGCTGGACTCATTATACTATGTATTAATATTAACTTGTTTTCTTTTCATTGAAATAGCCTCTATTTGAAATATTTCTAGGTGCTTACTTTATTTCATTTTAATACAAAACAAAATGAATAATATATAATCTTTATACTAATATATATTCAAACGACATGACACTATTTTTATTTCTATATTAACAATGAAGTTTCAATATATTTTAATTTTGTAAGGTTACCAACTTGCTAAGAAATTTTGCTTTCATAATCCATCAAATTATACTGCAGAGAAAACTGACAAACGTTAAACCCATATAACATTTTAGAATTGGTTTTTAGAAGTTAAATCATATTTTGTGAGAAAATGTATTTATTTATAAATTTTGCACATAAAACACCTACTTTCCCAACAAACTTATAAAACTTTATATATAAATGTAATATTAAAAGAATACATTTTGCCGGGCGGTGGTGGCGCACGCCTTTAATCCCAGCACTCGGGAGGCAGAGCCAGGCGGATCTCTGTGAGTTCGAGGCCAGCCTGGGCTACCAAGTGAGTTCCAGGAGAGGCGCAAAGCTACACAGAGAAACCCTGTCTCGAAAAACCAAAAAAAAAAAAAAAAAAAAAAGAATACATTTTATTGTGAATGTGTAAGTTTTAAAGCAAGGTATCCTTTTTGTAAATAATTATCATTTCTACTAAATTATGAATCTTTTTTTTAAAAGAGCTGTCTTTCATTTTTATTTTTATTTTATTTTATTTTATTTATTTTTTTTTTGTCAGAGCTGAGGACCGAACCCAGGGCCTTGCGCTTACAAGGCAAGTGCTCTACCACTGAGCTAAATCCCCAACCCATAAATTATGAATCTTAATAGTAAATTTTTATTAGTAGATTTACTTACTTCCAGTAACTTCATTTAATCTCTACTGTACATAACCTTCCAGAACTAACATAAAAGACAATCAGACCATGTCATTCCCCTGCTTGACATCTGTCTATGGTTCCACACTCTCATTAGGATTCATTTAAATACCTGGTACATTTGACAAGTAGTCGCTGAGTTTGGGTAGTAGTCTGAGATGGCCTTGGATATATCCTAGTCCAAAAAGACTCAGCCAAGAAACGATTCTTAAATGTGTAAGCATGGAACTTCCCCTGGGGGTCTGTTAAAATGATTTGGGAGCTACAATCTGAA